TGTTAGATCAACTTCGAAACTCCATTGCACTTCAAATTTGCAGGATCAAGTTGCATAGGTGATGCTTGGCAGTGATATCTGTGGGGTGGATCTTCTTAACTACCATTATAAAAGCGCATTAATAATAATGTTTGATGAGCCAATAATTTCTGAGTTTGACTACCTTCAACTAAACCACAATGAGAAATGTGGATCAGTGGTTGAGGATATCACTAACACAATATCTAAAATTACAGGAGAGAGATTGAACCTAACCCCTTGGCTTGTGAGGGGAGTCTAATTGGCTTAGTTTAATTGTAGTTTTATTTTTATGAAATGGCAAAAAGTTCATAGCCTGTCTAAACTCTCGAGATGTAAGAGAAGTAGTTATCTAGCCCTTCGAATCATGCAAATATTCTCTTTCATATTATGTTGTTTTGAATCCCAAATAACTCTCTCGAAGTTGTAACTTGAGAAGTTTTGGCAGGGTTTGAATTATGCTTTACTTGAAATTATTTAGATCAATGAAACAATATTTACCAATCAGAAAAAAAAAAAAAAAAAACATTCTAGCCTTTCGGGACGTGCGAGGAGTAGTTAGTTTGTCAGGTTTTCTTCTATAGAATGTAGTTTGTTTACTCGAATTTTTCTTTCCCAAGTATACTTAGGAGAGTATTCAGACATGTTTTCATCTGTGTTGTATATCCAATTTTTCTTTATCAATGACAAAATTCTATGATCAAACTCAAAAAATTGCAGGAAAGATAATTTGGAGTGCCTTCATGTATAATAGATGGCCTCATCTATATATGGCAGGGGTGCAATTATTAAGTAAAATATTCAATACTTGGGTAAAAATTTTCAGTACTTTAGCTGAAAAATTTGAATAATACTTGGATTGGGTTTAAACCAATTAGCAGATTCGGGTTAAACATGAGGTCAACCCTAATTATAACTTGGGCCGTGTAATTTAAGAATCAAATTTAGGCTCAACTCAAATTTTAACAGCAATTGAACACACCTTCCAGCTCAAATTGGTTAACATGAGAATTAAATCCCTATTTCAACCCGAATTTTACCCCAAATGAACAATGTTCGTGTCAAAAAAGTTGAGGTTTATTAGGGTCTATGTTTAACTCGGTTGAGAGTTGTATAATTAAACTGAGTTGCTTTTATTTAATCTCTCAAACCACCCAACTCACTCAAGTTGCACCCATAAACTTTTCGGTCATCGGGTGCCCATTTCATAAAGTGTGATTTATCTCTTTGATAAAGACAGTAATAGGGGACAGACCTGTATGAACTGTTGGACATGTTGCATCAAAAATTGCTGGTAGCCAGAGACAGTGTAGCTTTGCCGACGAATCGGTGTGCCAAAATAATTGACCACAAAATCGTTTGTACCGGCGCTAACAATGAACCCAGCCTTGTTAATGAGGTTTTTGGTTCCTCTCTTTCCAATAGCTAGCTCCAGTTTGCTTTTATACTCTCTGAAGTATTCCAGTTGCTCAGACATTGGAATTACACCCTGCAAAATGGCAGCAAATTCATCAAAAATCAGTGCAGCCAATTGCGAAACTTAGCATGAATTGTGTAAAACCAAAACCAAGAATTAAGAGAGAGAGAGAGAGAGAGAGTTGTTGGAAATCAATTGTTTTATTGAAGTGGCTAAATTGCCTGCTCTTTGGGGGTGCAACTGAGGTGGACTGGACAGGTTGAGAGATTAAATATTTGTGTTTAATTCAAACAATATAGTGTTGACCCAGGTTCTATGAGAAATTTACTGTTACTCCAAATTCGCGAATCCTCTACTATCCGATTACTATTATCTTTGTTTAGATTTCTAAACTCAGATTGAACTGCAATTACATAAATCATGTTGACTTTTAGGGAGCAGTTTTTCGAACTGAAAATGTAGTTCGATTCTAGGATTACACAGTTTAGGCTGAACTATGGGTTCAATTCGTGTTAGGCCTTCGTACTGTTCAAATTTATATCGGATTCGAGTATTTTTGCCTAAAAAAAATTAAAAAAAGGCATGTATTCTTTTTTTATTCATGATTTACAAAGTTTTTGTATATATTTATCTCGGCTTCTTGTTGCAGACATACTTTTGAATTCATGCAAAACCCAAACCATTCCTAACTGCTAGGAACTTTTGCTCATTTGTTGAAGAAAGAGAGCAAAGTTATGTCATTGACAAGAGTGTCACTATAATATGCATGAGAGAGAGAGAGAGAGAGAGAGACGCCAATCATCGGTGTCAATGGGTCGAACCCAGAGCCAGCTGAGGCAAAACTAACTCCAGTCATCAGCTCCTCGATGCTAAGCGTTGGGTCCAAATATGGTGGTACATAGTCTTTGACACCTACGTATGAAGCTGTTCCAAACAAATTAATATCTGTCATAATATTTGCACTCATAAACTCCCATTTTGCATCAAACTACAGCCAAAAAAAAACCCTAAGCTTACCGATAAAATCAGTCACGAGACGCCCATTGCAAAACCTTCCGGTTGGAGTGTGATTGACAAAATCTCTCCCATAGGGTGGAAAATTGCTCTTAAAAGGAGTGCCTATGTAGTTATTGTTTCCTGGATCAACCGTCGAGTCTCCAAATATAAAAACAGCCGAAATTGAATTGTTGAAAGGCCTTAAGGTTCGAGCTTGAGATCTCGAGATCAGAATCACCGCAATGAGAACAAAAAAGAGGGTTGAAAGAGGTAAGGCATGTGTGCATGGAGAAGTACTCATGGTTGCTGACACTCTGAGAATGACTGGAAACTAGAGCTTACCTTATATTGAATGGGGTGAGCTACATGTGACCTACTTTAATTTTGTGTACAGCTCCAATAAGTGTGTTAGTTACATGCAATTTCAAACTTTGGTTACCCAATACTATTAAATGGTGATATTGCTTTAAATGTGTTACTTTGCTTTACAAAAAATTTTTCTCGTGGGCCCTAAAGTTCTCTATCTCCATTGCCTCCTTTGCTCTTTGGAAGAGGAGTTCTGATCTGTAACTATAAGTGTGGATTGATACACAAAAGTAGGTAGAAACGATGTTATGACAAATGAAAATAAATAATGAAAATAAATTGTCAATTTGCGCATAAGTACCATTCAATTCGAGGTGGGTCAAACTTCACAATCTAAAGTTCGGTCCAATAGTATTGTGATTAGATCTATGTTGGATGTTATGGGATTTGGTTTAATTAAATCGATACATTTTTAAACTTAGAAAATTACAGGGAGAGTCCAAATATTAAACAGTCTTTTCTAGTATAAGACTAGCAAAGGGTCCAAAATCATATAAATAAAAGCAAACTTAATTCATGCTTATTGAAGCATCTCCGGACTCTACATCAAATGGGGAGATTTCTCATCTTCAGCCACATGCAGATAAAGATCAACACTAAAACTTAGACTTCACTAAGGACAAGACTTCTCCATTAGATTAGGATAAAATAAAGCATTAGTAATTTAGTTTTATACAAACACTTACTTTGTAAAGTACTATTAATATATACATACTGTTGGCTCCTTGAACGGTGAAGAAGCCATTGATATTTTACTGGTTTTGTTCCTTCAATGCAATTACCCAAACCTAAATCCATATCCACATCAATGTTAATGGGTCTAGGCGTTAATTCTAAAATAGGAGGCAGTGTCCGTATAATCTATATTTGTATCTATATCTATATCTATATTTACACTACTTATAAATGTTAATATCTGTGAAAAAATTTTAATTTTTTATTTTATCCATAATTATTATAATAAAGTCAATTATATCCAACTATATATTTTCATCTAACTTGTTTTTTACTACTTTTTGACTTTTAATTTGTTTTGAACTCTTTTATAAGTATTTATAAATTATTTTAAACTTATTTATTAGTAGTTCAGTTGCATACAATTTTTTATATTTATCTGAAGAATTAAAGTTTTATCTATGTTAAATTATTGCACACATTATCAGATTGAATTTTACGGTCAATATATATTACATAATTTTTTTGGTACAATAATATAATAATATTATAAGTGATTCAATCAATCTATTTAAGAAAATAATAATTTATAATTTTATGATATAATTAGATGTAAATGTTTAGAAAAGTCAAAGAAATACTTAAATAAATAATAACATATTAGGTATTTAAAGACTTATAGAATAAATTAATAATTAAATTTAACAATAATTAAAAAATAAATTAATTATTTGACATCTAATTTATTATATAATTTAATTACACATATGATGTACATTTTTTTATAAAAATAATATTATTTTAATTCGTTATGCCAAATGTCAAGAGGCCTGTGTGAACTTTACAATATTTTAATCTGTGTCTTGATGTGAACTTTACAATATCATCACGAGATATTTTAATCTGACAGGTGGGTGGAAGAGCTACCACCCCAGATCATGAAGGCCGTGAGCAGGGAGGCAAAAGTAGGGTGAGACTGGAGCTTTTGACCAATCTCATGGGGATTAAAAAAAAAAAAAAATCTCAAAAAATGGTTGATTTGAAAATAATTTTTAAACTTAAACACTTTTAAAAAAGGTCAATTTGTCTGACGTTTTTAGATTAAAAACGTAAGTTAATTAAACATTTTTATCGTAAAAATTTCATCCAAATGACATTTTTAACCATACATAATGGCTAGTAAACTTCGTAAAAAATGTCATTTTGAACTGACGTGATACGAAAAAACGTCAGATCAACCGACACATTCAAACATTTCTAGCACCACCTTTCTTTCTTGGAATATCTAATGTTTGAATAAAAAATAAATTAATATTTATTTGGATAATTATCATAAGTGACCCCTAAATTTTTTCTTGGGTTTTAATGCAGTCCCTAAAATTTTAATTCTTTTAATTTAATCTATCAATTATCAATTTTATTTCAATTAAATAATTCCATTAATTTTCATAGTCAGATCAACTAGAGATTAGCCCAATTTGATTGATTTTAGCATTGATGTAACGATGAAAATAAATAAAAAAACTTAATTGTAACAAAACTGATAGTTGAAGGAGTAAAATAAGCCAAGTAAAAGTTCATAGATTAAATTCAAATTTGAGGTAAAACTCAGGACTAACTATGAAATTTACCCTATTTTTTATAAAATATTATAAATGCATCAAATAAATATAAGTTCTTATCAATGGTAATATGATCCTAAATTTTTGTTCGACTTACAATAACATTTTAAAAAATTGAACATCGGTCGTTTTCTGCCTTTTTTTTTTTGAGTAAAATGTTAAATGTTTATTTAATAAAAAAAGTTAATTAATAAATAAATTTTGACAATTTAAAAATAAATACACTGTTTTGCTCCTAAAAATGAGTTTTCTGCCTAAAAATAAATAAATTTTGATAGGTTTTCTACCTAAATATGAGTTTTTTTTATTTATTTAAAAATTTAATTATATTCAATAAATAAATTTTGATAATTTAAAAATACATAAATTTCGTTTGTCCTACTGACGTTTTTCTCCCTAACAATGATACCTAAAAATATTTTGCTCCCTCTCTTTTTAAGAAGATGAGTTTTTTTTTTTTTTTTAAAAATTTAATTACATTCAATAAAAAAATTTTGATAATTTAAAAATACTTATATATTTTAGCATATCAAATTTTAAAAAATTGAAAACGTATACATATAATTAATTTTAATTTTATCATATAATTATAAACGCACACATAAAATAAAAATAAATTTTGATTTGTAATGTTGATCATGTCAATATTAATGTTTAGTAAGCTGTGAAAAAATATAAGTTATTTAAAACGTATACATGTAAAAAAAAAGATGTCAACAACGTGGTTGATATTCAAAACAATATAAAGAATTATCGAATACACATAAACATGATGGGATAAAAGTGTCAGACGCATCATCGTCTAAATCAGAGAAATCAGAAAGTTCAGGATCAGAAACAAACGGATCCTCTAAAATTTCAATTTCAGCATATTCAAAATCAAAATGCTCTATTTTAGCATGATTGAGTGCATGAAATCAATAAGACGACACTGCATTTGATCATTTTCACGTTCAAGCCTTGATATGATCTCGTCATGATTGTTTGAATTATGTGAATTGTAAATATCAGCTGAACGTGCCTTTGGTACCACAATTTCATGCCAACGACAAAATACTTTAAGGTCACAAAGTTTGTCATATAATTGTCGTCATCTTGGTGTGGGTTTGATATGAGTACCTGGAGGTGGATAATCAGTTGCAGGCCTAACAATTACATGTCCAGCTTATCCAAACGGATGATAAGGGTCGATTGGCTTATTGTGAAATGCATGCTTTCGTTCATACCACGTTACACCATTAGAATCAGTATATGATTCGATAGAAGAAATTTTGTTCAACGATGTTGAGCTGTTCATTGAGCGTTCACGTTTATTACCCCGAAGATGAACTATTGACATTGCGTGAAGAATAACTCGCATGTGATGTGCTTCTATACATTTTGTTTGGTGATGGTGCATTTACACAATTACGAATAGTAATATATATATATGCTCAATTTGACAATTAAAAATTGCAGTAAAAGGACATCAATCTGTATAGTTTGGAACTGATTTGACAATGATGCAAAATGACAATAAAAAAGTAGGGATATGACAACACACCGCATTGATTTGTGAAAATCATGAGATAGATTAAAGTAAATAGGTTATCACACTACAAAGTTGAGAACTGATTTGACAATGACAAGAAGTGACAATAAAAAAGTTGAGATATGACAACACACTGAATAAACTCATAAAGACACAATATTGATTAAAGCTCCAAATTACATAGACATAAATGTTATATGCTTAATATGGTTGACACTAATTAAATTTTTTACTTTCATCAAATATATACTCATCGGATATGTATTGTTCATTAGACAATACATTAGATTGCTCAGTAGCATTAACTCCCTACCAAATGCAGTTACAACCATGTCAGATGCTATTTGGAGCATATAATATCGACACTTACGCAACATCATCCTATTATTCTCCCTTTTCGTACACATTTAACTGTTGCTTCATAGTTGATTCTATTCCTTCGCAGCATGATAAGTGAAAGTTTATGTGGCACCAGTATACCAAGTTCTCTCAGATTTGTGCATAATGACTGTGATTCAATAGCACGAAAACTCCACTCTCGACGGAGTCCGACATAATACTCCTTTGAATCAAAAAATTTCTCACTCATGTAATCATCATCTCGTTCTTGTAATAACTATACTGGTTCATGACTACGGTTGGTAACACCTACTTGTGCTCTTGAAGTAGACATAATCTACAATAAATGTTATAAGAACCACCCTATGTTATGTTTTTATAGTTGTTTTCATCGTCTAAAATAAAATACATTTGTCAGTAATGCAGTAGTGTGTAGTCAGGGTTTTGTTTGAGTTGATGGTCAAACAGTAAAAAAAAAATTGTGCAGTAAGTGTGACTACACACTATTACCTGTTAGCGTAACCAGACACTGGTATGCAGTGACTGTGAATGCACACTGATAAATGTACTACATTGATTTTAATAGACCCTGATTCATCATACGCCATAGTGATTCAGGTCTGCGCCGTATTGTAAGCGACCGTGCTGCAGAAAGGTGGATGCAAGAAACAAATTTAAGCTACCAGTTGAGTGGTGAAGATGGATGTATTTTTGATTATTACCTGTCTGACGATGATGAAGACCCATGAAGAAGTGTAATGGAAATCC